CCCCAAAACCCCAAAACCCCAAAACCCCAAAACCCCATTATCAAAGATTTATCATAATAATTTAAACAACTTTCTAATATAATGGCGGAACAGTTCTTTAAAGTCAGAAATACATACTTAGGCATTGATGGAGACGGTAGTTTAGACGACAAACATTACTTTCATAAATATCCCAGAGAAGATAACTCTACAGTTATCAATGAGATGGATCACAGTGCACATATGATACAGTCATCTCATCAAAAAGGCGCAAATAGTTTCTTGACCCACCACTTAAGTTCTGATAAGGTAATATTTTATGCTTCTTGGCTCAGTGATTTTAGGAGAATCAGTATGAACCAGTAGAGAATAACTCACTTCAACACGAACACATTGAGCAGAGTGAATCTAAGGACAAAGATAGCATTTACAGCATCTTTGATCAAGTGAATCCAGAGACAAAGAGCCTTCATTCAAAGATTCCGGTCAAATCCTCAATGAGGGACATATCTAATGAAAAATAAACCTGTGTATCAGAACAAGACTGTCTCTTTCTTCGAAGGACAGAACAGATTGTCTGCAAGTCTCTCCCAAGAAGAGCAAAAGTATAGTTTCAGGCATAATGATGAATACATGAATCCTCACCAGCCAGGGTTTTCACTAAATACCGCAAGTAATCGAGGAACCTCTCCATATGAAAGAACAATGAGCGATTATGTAGAAACTAAGAAAAGACTAATGGAAAAAGAAAGTGTAATATTTGAGCAAAGAAAAAATAAGCTTGAAGTACTGAAAAGAGCACGAGAGCTGAGAAATTCTAGTATCGAACAATCAAAAATCGCTAATTCTGCGATAAATATTGATCCTGAAAATGGATATAGCCCTCATATAATAGACATAAACCATAACACCACTGGAAAAATTGGAAACTCTCCAAGCATCACCGACATTATAATTCCTCCAAAAACCCCAAGTAATGCCCTTCGTTCAATATAGTCCTCAACTCAGACCTAAAATGCGACAATGAGCACCAAGATCCCACAGCTTGTCCAAAACGAAGACTGGATTACCAAGACTCGCCATCCCAATCATCCCGCTCCTCTCACTCATCCAACTCCTTACCCACATCAAAATCTCAAACTCCAGTCCCCAACTCCCGCTCTCGATCCCGCTCCCGATCCCGCTCAGCTTCTCAGCCCCGGTCCCGGTCACCCACCCCCTTGACCCCTACCGACATCCTCAAAGACCCATGTGCCTTATCCTTCCTAAAAACCCACTATCCTTCCACGCCCAAAATTCCAATCTGTAAGTAAAGCTTTTACACTGTAGCACATTTCGCTGTGAGATTGACCCAGAATTACCTGAATATTCTGGAGAGTTTCAGTGTATCAGAGGAAGAAGTTGTACCAGTTTTGGAAGAGAAACTTGAGAATAAAGGACTTCTTAGTTTGAATAAGTTACAAGTTATGACCAGCTCTAAAGGATTGCTAGAGTTTATATCAGATATCTGTGAAAATCTTAAACGTCAGAAGGAGTATGAGGAAAATAAGAAGACTCAAAATGAAGTATTCGAACAGCTTCAAATCGTTAAAGAAGAACTGGAACAAAAAGAGCAAGATTTATCAGTAAAAGAGAAAGAACTTGATGAGCGAGAGGAAGAATGCTCAGAATGGGAAGAAGAACTCAAGTATAGAATGGAAGAAAACCAACATGTCGTTGAAGAAGGCAAAAATCTTCTTGAAGACCAAGCGATCCGCTGCCAGAAGGAAATTGAACTAAAATTTAAAAAGCAACTTAAAGCATTAGAGAAGAAGCTTGAAAGCGCCCAAAGAGATCTAAGAAATAAGACCCAGCTGATTAAACAACAAAAGAAACTTGATACTTCAGTAAGATATGGTGGACTTAATACCTCTCTGAGAAGCTCCAAAGGAACTAACGGCGATGATCCATTAGCAGCAGCAAAGAAAACTATTGAAAAACTTAAAGCAAGGATTTCTAATTTGGAAAAATCTTATGAGGTGAAGAAATCTAAAGCAGATACATTGGAAGAACAGCTTGAAAAAGAGAAGAAAGAGAGAAACAAATTCCAAGAAAATTATTATAAAATCAAGTCCAAAAAGGATTCTCTTGAAAAGGATCAGAAGTCATATAAAGAGAGAATTGCAGAGCTTGAAGTGAAGCTTAATCAAGCTAATAACAAAATTGCAGTTCTCGAGTCTCATTCTATGAAGCCTACCAACATTCAAATTCCTCCTTCAACCTTATCCAAAGAGCTTGAGCTTCAAGACTTAAAATCAGGTGATGACTTAGATTCATTTCTCTCTGATACTCCAATGAAGGGATCTCCAAAGGAAGAATCTCGTAAACTTCAATCCTCCAAGGACCAGAAGTCAACTCCAAAGAAGAAAGCCCCTTTAAAAGCATCTGTGAAAGCCAAGCTGTCTGAGCCCAGTCAGCTTAGATCAGTTCCTGAAGAGAGTAATCTGTTCATTGAGATCAACACCATTTTGCTTGCAACACTTGAAATGACTCTTCCCTTAATGATTTCTACTGTAAGTATCCTACCGAAGGTTCTATGAAAGGAACATTTTTGCATTTACCTAACTTGTAGACTTAGAGAATCCTCAACATAAATATAGCCTCAGACAGAGAAGAATACTCTTGAAGATACCTCAATGCTGTCTATAACTCCTAACAGAAAACTTGAGTATTCAATGTACGATGAAAATGAGCCAAATGAAGAGAAGAAGACTATCAAATTTGGAGAAATGCTTTTCCCAGCTTTCAACAATCTTGCTCCGAAACTCATAGAAGCTATATATGTTAGCAAGCAGGTATCAGAAAGCAATAGGGGTATTCAAGGCCTTGCTGATGTGACATGGAGCTGTCTTTCCTTCTCATTCCATTCTTATGTATTCCCTAATCTTGTGAAGGAAGTTATTGATTCCCAAAAATACGGCAAACTAGCATCAAATGATTTAACAATGTTTAATAAAGCTTTCGAGAAAGGAAGCTCTTACGAAGCAAAAAAGTTCATGCCAATCAGGCTAGATTTTAAGGCCAAGACAGCTATTTTTAAGAGAAAGGTCAAAGCTATTAGCTCAAATGTGAGGTACTCTGATCATGTTAAGCACTCAAGAGCTGAAGGGATCTCCTTCCCTATTTACGAAGTATTCAATGACATAGCTGTCAGTGATGCAGTTGTGGTAGAATTACTTGATTTGATACAAGTAAAGAAAGCTCCTAGCGATAACCAAGAAAATATGATCAATACTGCTACAGAAAATTCTCACAGTAGACTGAAAAGCAGTAAGCTTAAGAAGAGTCTGCAAAAGCCATCAGGGAAAGAGGAAGCTGATCAACATCCAGTAATTAAGAGGAAGGATAAAATAACTCCTAAAATGAAAGTTATTGCTTGTTGTTTGATCAACATCCTATCTAGCTCAACTGCTCCTATATCCAAATCTCTAGCAATTCTCGACAACTTCTACTCAAACTTACCCAACGAAGAAGTCGATAACCTCATGGAAATCTTTCTAGAAATAAACATTCTCCCATTGCTAGTACTAAACCTCCTCAACGAGCAACTTTTGGACTCATCTTTAAACATACTCCTCGAACTACTGACCACAGATTCGTACACTGACCAAATCTGTACTCTCCTACTAGACCCTTCCCTATTCGAAATCCTAAAAATAATCTCCATAAAATACAGTACGAACAGGTCAAATTTCCAAGAAATCCTGATAATCCTTCATAATATAAACAACGTAGATCCTATCAGGATGAAGGAGTTATGATCAGTGGACTACATCGAGTTTTTGAATAATGAGCTAGTGAAGGAAAGCCAAGTGGAAACAGAGCAAGATGACGAGTTTTTGAAAGATACATTAGCGCAGATACTTAATAGTCTTAATGAATAAAATAGATCAGTTTGGAATTTTAAAAAAGGGGTTTTGGGGTTTTGGGGTTTTGGGG